TTAAATCCAGGTTTTCGAAGATAACTTTTAACATTCTAAGAGACAGCACGAAAGTTAACGTTCACAGGAAAATTAATTAACTGCTTAAATCATTACAACAAAATGCCTATGACTCTTATAAATAAGTTTCATATATTAAAAAACCTATTTCACTTTTAAAATATGAATGCGTGAACAGCAAGACTAGAACTTTAATTGGACCACAAAAATTATATTAAAATCTTTCAAGCACTCCCATGTAAGTAAAGTTGAACCCGTACGTACTTTACGTATTTGTTATGCTATAATTTATCAAATGCATTAACTATCTGAAACGTATGTACGTAAATAGCATCTTCATTCATTAGTACAGCACCTGAGTTCATTATATTGTGAAATACATGAATATCTGACATGACGAAATGCATGCATGCAGTGTAATACAAGGTTAATACATGTGATTTTAAGACATTTCAGTAAAAGTTACGCATTCACCACAGTGGAAATCATTCACATGTATATATTTCTGATACATTATCTTTACTTTAAATTTTCATCCAATTTCTTTCTCCATAACGGAAGACAAATGGGCCACTTATAAGTGACCCATTTGTCTACCGTTACGTCATTCCTCCATCCGCTGGCCTTAATTTCCTGTATGTATGCAGGTAATCGGTAGTCTACTAATTACTCCACTTCGATTTACGTTATTTAACTTTAATGACGTTAGTTAATGAGCGAAACAATTCTATTTAACCTCGTTTCCGTCCAATGTATAGTCTTTTAAACAAGAAGTACGGCTGAGGATTGGCAGACTTATCCACGTAGTTCGACTTGTGGCGACATATAAAGGAAATAGCCACTGTGTTCACTGCCTTTTGCAATATAATTCCGGTCGAAATTCAACGGGAAGTCTCCTTTCTTATCACAGAAACTATAATCATCGCAAATGGCTACTGTTCAATGGCCCATGGACATCTCTCGCGTAAACGCTTTCTGTAAGTGTTGAACGTTTAGCGAATATTTATTAAACAAGAAACACACTTTTAGTCCCGTTAGATCTAAGGTTTTCACAGCGGCGAGTATGAAAATAACTGTTTTCTGGGTTGTTACGACGTAGCCTAGTAGATTTTACCGATGTTACAGAGGCGCCTGCTGCGTTCAAAATCAGGGCGACGAGAACGCCGCGCCCTCTAAAAACGACGCTTGTACCTCAAAGAGATACGCTTGGCGTTCCTTCTTTAATCAAGTCAAAAACTGTTCCACCTTGCAAAAATTAGAACCTCCATCAGAAGTACAGAATATAATAATTAAGAAGAAATTACAGGAAATTAAGAGATCTGCCTTACCTTGTACGATGAGTCTGACGATGGCTTCCGGTTTCGGGCGATTGTTGACTAGGCAGCTGTATTCGGCGCTGTCCTCTGCAGTCACGGGATGAAAATGAAGCCCAAATGTGTCCGGGAGTAACGTAATACGATGTCTGTGTTCCCATACGGTTGTACTGTCACTCATGTATTCCACAAGTTTTATGTGAGAACGCCATTCTAACATAAGAACCAAGGAGTGTTCCGTCACTCCTGGACACGTAAGAGTCACGTTGGAACCCGCCTCAGAAAGCACAGTCTCTAACGGGATCGCCGTTACATCTGCAAACAAAGAAAAACGCCTTCTTTATCTAAATCTGCATCGAATCTGCAAACAATAAACTCCTTGTATGATTTGAGGTTTTCAAAGCTGTGAGTATGAAGATTTCTGTCTTCTGGGTTGTTGCGCTGTGTAGTCTGGTCGATGTTTACCAACGTTTCAGAGATCATACTGCCTCCGTCATCAGGGCGATGAATATGAAGATTTCCGTCTTCTGGGTTGTTGCGCTGTGTAGTCTGGTCGATGTTTACCAACGTTTCAGAGATCATACTGCCTCCGTCATCAGGGCGATGAATATGAAGATTTCTGTCTTCTAGGTTGTTGCGCTGTGTAGTCTGGTAGATTTTTACCAACGTTACCTTCGTCATCAGGGCGATGAATCTAGTCTCTCACTAAACCCACACCTTCTTTTTCTCTCTCTTATTCTTTCAACTTCAACGGGTTAATCACCTTGGTGGGCATTACAATTAGAATGAAAATTTTAGAGTTAACAAATTTGTAATTTGTCTATTCTCGTTCTGCCTACAAAACGTCAGAATTTTGTGGTTAACACCAGTGTTCCGTAATCAGATACCGGGGTCGAATGGAGGCCCAAAAATACTGACCTGACTGAGGAATTTTCTATTTTATATCGGCCATTCAATAAAAATGCCGGTATTTTTCATTAACTTCAGAAACAATTAAAAATCCTTTTACTTCCTCTAACTCTGGTCAAGATTTACTCCTATGTAGTAATTTACTTATAAGGTAGACCAGTAGTGTTATAATAGGTGTACTTAACCTTAAAACAGTGTATGTTCTTTGAAGTTCTGTAAATAATAAAGTTCAGGTGAACTTGGTTTACAGTGATTTAATGATAACACAGTTACTTTAACTTAGAATTGCACTACACGTGCACAGAGGAGACGTGTGTTTAATTAATTTCCTAAGATTCAGTCTCTATTGTAAAGTGGTCTCTATGAGAACAAACAGAATTCTAAGACAAACAATTTGATTGACATTTCCACTCGCTCACACATAAGATAATCACAAATATGCAGTTACTCAAAATCCCTTGTACAAAACAGAATCAGCTCTTGGAGCTTAGCGTGGATAAGACGGCTCGCCTATCCAAACAAGCTGACCCCAACTTCTCTCCTTCCCGTAATTACAGCTTGTATCTTGTTCGCACAGTTTCCTTTGATAACACTGTGTTATCCACAGCTCTGCAGTCGTTTTGCTAACCCTGAATTGTGGACTCCAGAAAGTACAATGTACCTGTTACCTGCCCAGAACTGTTACTTCCCCAAAACGTTACGAGAGTCAGATAAAGAACGTCACACAGGAACACAGACACAATGCAACAGAGACCGAAAGAAGCTGCTGTCTCATATTCGGTTAGCCCAGTGGCTGCCTGCTCTAAACTTCGGAGGTCTCCCCCAGTTTTTTACAAACACTGGATATTGTAAGTTGCCATTACAACGACTAGCAAATGGCGTTTCAGGCACGCTGGTCATAACAGAACTGGTTAAACACACGCCTTTGTCAACAGGGCCGTAACCCATCGCTCTGATCAAGATGGCAGCAAACATCTCGGACACTTCTGTAAAGTTCTGGCAGACTACACGTTGTAACAACCTAAAAGACAGTTGTCTTCTTATTCGCTGTCGTGGAAAACTCAAATCTTCACTTATTTAAACTCTAAGTAGTCTATCATCCATGGCAATGTCTTGGCAGAAATGAATTTTATACACATGACCGGACAAATCATGGACAATACAGTCATACTTTGAAAATAAGCCGTCATAGTCTAAGTCAGAATTGAATCTTACATTTGAAGCACCAATGTTCATGCGTGCAGACAACTATGTCGTAAACACGAAAATTAATTAATTAAAACTCCACAAAATCCATAACACACAATTATATTGAACACTTATGAAGGCAATATTTATCACGTGAAAGACACGTGGATAATAAAACATGCTGCCTACATTAAATATTAAGGAAGCAGTAACTTAATGTATTAGATTCGATTATAAATTTTCTTGTCCACCCAATACTCACACTGCATGACTAATTACTATATGGGCCTATTAGGGATGTACAACTTGTACAATCTTTATGGTCATAATCAAAGAACTCAACTTAAGACTCGTATTATTGCAGTGTTATAATGGTCGAGTCACAGCGATAGTAAATTATGCATATTTGGGATGTTACTGGTTCGAATCTCTAACATGATACATGCTATTCCGAGGTTTTTAGACGCTTTGTTAAGCCACTCCAAGAAAAAAGCCTGGATAGCACATTAAGATACAGCATTGTCACTTCCATCCTTCACCATCATTCCAGACATTGACGATTTAAATCCCAAAAAGTTGATACAAAGCCGTAAAATAGCCAATGCCTAGAGCTTTCTTTCAACACTTTTCAGCACTAACGTCGTGGTACTAAGCACGAGTAACACATCTTGGAATTAAGTTATTTTGTGGTAAATTTGAAAATTCAAGCCCATGTTTATTTATTACACGCAGACAATTCTTTGCCTTGGTATTATTGGTGACAACCGCTTAACTGTTAAATAATAAGCGGTGAATTAATCAAAATATTCATTAATTCACACCTATAATTCAAAATTTGGCAAACTGAACTACATAAGCATTAGGTTACTGAAGAGAGGATTGAGTTATACGCACCAGATTTGACTGCATATAATCACCTAACTGCATAGCAAACATCACTGTATTAGGTGTCTCCGAGTTCAGCAGTCCTGGTATATTGTAAATACACAAGCTGGCATTCGTATCTCTTCTGAACGGTATTATTATTTTTTGTTAATCACAAAATTCATATGGAAAGAACGAGTAGCAAATACTAATAAAATTGTTTCAGAAATAGTCCACTAATAATTAACGGTGATTACACGTGTCCCAGTTATTGTAATGGGCAAGAAACACAAACTTGCCTTCCCCGTACGCTAGTGCCACGTGCACATGCCGAACACAAAATCGATAAACTTGTGAACAATAGAGGCATGCATCGATAGGAGCAGATGCGTACGTCTCAGGGCAGTACAAGCAGATTTATTAAAACGCTTTCCTCTCATAACACGTGCCGGATGAGCTGAAGTCAGTAAATGACTGCAGTTCCATTCCCAGCAAAGAAAGGCATTTTTCTGAAGATAACTATCTCGTGGGATTCCTCGCCGTCTTGTCTGTTAGAAATTTGTTTCTAAGGTACTCGCTGCATTAATGCTTTAATCATCCGTCCACTCATCGCCCTAATTATGACGGCAGTAAGTACCTCCATGTCGTCGGTAAACTTCTACCAGACTACACGGCGCAACATACCAGAAGACAGCCATCTTCATACTCGCCGTCGTCAGAACCTGAAATGTTACCACAGAATTTTTCTCTACGTTACTTCGTTTAGATCTACACAGCGGCCACCTCAGTCTCTTGTCAAATGAATACCAGACTCTCTGTTCCTAGGGGTAGGGCTTCCAAGCGCGTGAATGCCATAATGCCATAGTTAAGAATGTGTGGAGCCTTATCTCCTTCCCCCACTATCACGTACCCATTACGAAGGAGGAGTGCTAACCACTCAGCAGCGGCATTCGGTTTTTGTGGACCTATATAGAGACGTATAGACATTTGAGTAAAATAAATGACGTAACAAAAAAATTTTATAGGGGAAAAGTTCGTTTTCGTTCAGGGTAAATGCATTCCAGCTATATAATGGAACGTCTTGTGCCGTGAGAGCTAATAGATACGAATGAGCTCCAACACTACACCGCTCTGTTAACCAACCTCTCGCATGGGAGTCCCGATAAGGCATGTTGAACATTACAACACAGGCGCTTGACAAGAATTTATTTTCATGTTCAGAACGTACGAAACACGTGTTTACACACAAACCTTGAAGCAACAACAACGTAAAACACAAGGACCAGTTTCAGAGTGCCAGCGATAATTATGTTTAATTCACTGGTTGCAATGTTACGTCAACGATAAACAACCATATGATACATTTAAGACATCCCGGTTAATTCATACTCAACATAACAACGGATTAATTGGCTCTTTGGCTCCTTAAGGGAAGGTTGCATGATGGTTTGGGCTGAAAAAATCAGTTTTGTGATTCTGAATAGTTTCAGTAGTTTTGAATTTTTTGCCAATGCAGTATCGGTTTACGTCGGACGAAAAATTATGTACATTCAATGTGATTTTTAAGGGGAATACTGTTCAACACAAACACTGTTCATTTACGTCAACACTGACGCTAATATTAATATAAACGCATTACCCTTTACAACATTTAAAAATACACCAAAACAATCACATATTTGTCAATCACCTAGTGCTCTTATCTTAAATTCGAACCCCGATAATGATACGAACGTTCTTTTTGTGATTTCCTTACATTTCCTGTGATTGGAGAGACATTAAAAACACTGATCACTAACCCAAGGAATCCAACCGCCTAGAAAATTGTTGCTATCACAGAAATCCATGGCTCAAACGAGTCTGCAGCGCCAATAAAGACAAATTAAATTCACAGTACATTTAGAATTACATATATAACATTAATGCATGGAATTTTATCCCGGAAGCCCAACCTGTATTGAAAGACGGTCATTAACATCGACCTTACAAAATCGATCAGTAAATACAATAATACCTTTTGAAAGACTGTAAAACGAAAACACGCCACGGTAATAACACTTTGCATTAAACATTTCTCTTAATATTAATCACCATGCAGTCTAACCGTAGGTCAATAAATTATTTTACCATTATCCTTGAACAAAATTATTATGCTTCCAGTTCACAAATAACTATCTGCATACACCTCACTGACTAAATAAGTCTGTTAATGAAACCCAAAGTTTTAAGTCTAATTAATAGACATATCAGGTAAATCAATTTATAATTACTTTCCTGTTTTTCTCATAACACGAAACTCTGGCGTTTTCCGATTCGCAGTTATCTCTAAAAGTAAGGATGAGACATAAAACTCC